ACAATACACAGGTTTTGTTCCAAACATCTTTGGAGGACCCTTTGACAGTTTCCAGGCTCAACTACCGAAGGCTCAACTGACACTTTTAGAGGACCTACATTAGCTGCAAGTTCTCATGAGTCTTGACACTGACCTTCCTCTTCTCGGCACACCAGAACCTGGATCAAATCTTCACTATTTTGAATAATTCAGACTAATTAAACAAAACCAAACCCAAAGAAGCAGAACGAACGACCAGCATTCTAAAGTGAAGGGTTTGAATTACTTGCTGATACTACCCCTCTTTCACTTTATTTCCCTAAGTTACATTCAGATACATGTTTCTTTTAAAACAGTAATTAGAAGAAGCATTCTCAATTAACCACTTTTGCAGGAGGGCTTTTTGCTATTTTAAGTGCAGTGCACCAAACTTACCGCATCACTCTGGGGCTGTGAGATCACAACAGGCTGTCCTGAATCACACGTCTCCCGTATATTAACATGCAGTGGAATGTCTCCTGTATCAAAAATACCAAGATACACATATGTGAATACCTAATATTTCTTAAATGTTTCATTAAAATATGCCCTGAAGCAACTTGAAATCAAATTCCTGTTTGGTATAGTCTTTGAATTACTTAAGCTCAAAACATTAGCATTTAAAATGAAAATTGGCTGCAGTACAATTTCTGTACATCCATAATGATTAATGCCAAACATATTCTGTGTCTTTTATTCTCTGAATAGGACGGACCATACTTTGCAGTCATTTATTACAAAGCTGGCTTGCTTTTTTGATGGAATAAACAGAAAAACACAGGCTGGGATACAAATTATTTTGCATATATAAAAAAGATTGTATGAGTGGTAGGTAAATGCTTAGCATGCATCTTACTGTTGCCTATCTATCTCCTCCATTGTATATTCTTTCCAGTGCTGTTTTAAGATTCTAATCACTATTCAAATACTTTTTTGAATACTTAATTTTGAAATAATAGCATTTGTTATTGTCCTTATTAGGCTTTGGATCCAGTTAAAAGGTAGACAACTATTCAGTTCATTCTTCTTTCCAACAGAAATCTTCTTTCTATTCTGCTTTTATAACAAGCAGGAAACTGTCAGAGAGGAAAGGAACACTCTAATGGAGAATCAATTAGCAGCCCTATTCCACTCTGAAGCATACTTTCTGAAATAGTTTTTCAGCACTACAGAAAACTTGGAATTTCCATGTTTAGTTCATTGCTACATAGATAATTATGGAGTAACCTGAAGACCAACTTTTCTTTAATGGAAGATAGAACTACATTTTAGATGCAAACAGAACAACCTACCTTAGTTCAATCTCCACTGGTCTCAGAAACTGTATCTGTTTAATCATATACTTAGCAACATTTATTTAACCCAAACCAAAGCCAGTGTAAATCACTGAAGTTCAAAGTAGTCCGAAAAAGAAACACTAAAAATTAAACATTAAAAAAAAAATATATGAAAGAAGATTGACACAGCTTAAGAGATTTAAAAAAAAAAAAAAAAAAAAAACCACACAAAAAATCACCCTGAAAGCAAGCAGTAATACAAACAAAAGACCTAACAAATAGCAAACACAAAAGCTGTAGCTCCATTAGGGAGCTGAATCTTTGAAAAATTTGTTATCTTGACTTGTAATATGATCATTACAGTCCATTTCCCTCAAATTTGTTTCTTACTTGTTTCAGTCATGAATTAATTTCTTCAGACATAAAGCACAGAAGTCTGTTCATTTATTCATTACAAAATATATTTAGGGGGTCCTTTAAAAATTGTCCTTGAGGGGTTTTTTGTGTTTTGGTTTGGTTTTGTTTGTTTGTTGGGCTTTTTTAACGTTAGACATTCTTAATAGAATAACAGAAACTTTGTAAATCTCCCAGAAGTTAGTTCGTACCATTATTTCATGCAGCGCCTAATCTTGGCTTTTTTCCCCAAGAATGTTTTGTTCATGAAAAAAATACTTCTTCACTATCAGCTTAATAACAAGCTCAGAGAATTACAAAGAGAACTTACAAAGATGTGCTGGTACTACATGAATGTAACAGAATTTGTATGAGCAAAAGTGCAAGTCAGAAGTTTTTGCACTATTCACTACAGAACATGATGAGAACATGCCACTGTACCTTTTTCTGATACTAAGAATTATTGCTGGCTGCAGTAAAAGGGTAAGTGCTGAGAATAATCTGAATTTACTGTAGGAAGTAAAAACTAAAAGAATATTAGAAATCTGGGAGGCACTGTTGCTGGTTCTATTAGCAGATGCAGTTTAAAAAGTTAGGAAGTGCCAAGGTCAAGATGGAGTGTACAGAAATTATCTTAATATTATGTATATTAATGGTATAGCTTTATGGTGACAGTTACTGTCACCAAACTAAAATAAAGCTGAATACGGGTATTTCAGAGACAGGGAGAGAAATAATCAGCAGCACAGTCTTTCTTACAAAGTTTGGCACGCTTTCCTTTAGATAACAATAAAAAGACAAGACAATCAAAAGTATGTGAAACAATGAACTATGTAAAAAGGTTCACTGTCAAATGGTAATTGTCTTCTGTCATAAACAAAAACCAAAGGAGGTATACAGTAATATTAAAGGCAGCCAATTCTGAGCAAATAAAAGGAAAATACTTTTCTATTCTGCACATTATTAGCTTGAGGAGTTTGTCAGATGTTATCATGGAAAGTAAAACCTTGTCAGTTCTCACAAAAGGACTAGGTGCTTAGTTGAACAAACAGAACAGCCACAGGTGCAAAATAAATTTAGAGAATTAAAAATTTAGCAGTACTAATTTTAAATACATACATTTATTATATACATATAAAAATAAGTTCTTCAGTGTTTCGGGCAGAATTCAAATAACATTGGGAAAAAACTTTCACTTCGGACAGATTAATGTAAAATCTGTACGCAGAAATTCTTATAATACCATACTATGTAATGGTTATCCCTGGAAGGAGGAGAATACTAATCAGATCAAGTACCATAATTCTAAATTTAACCCTTGGGGTATTATTCTTTCATTAACAGTTTGAAAGTAAACTTCACTCTATTTTTCTTCATAGATCTCATCCATCCCCACTAAACCCGTAAATCTCTCACATCACTCCTAATTAAATGCAATCACAATCAGTTCTGGCCTCTTAGGGAATAACAAAAACCATCTATGGGACCATTGGCATGGTACATGATTTGTGCCTGTGTATCTAAATGCATGTTTGATTCAATGGCTTGAAGAGGATTTGTATCCATCCACATAAACCAGGGCTGCAGAAGTCCCCCTGGGACACTTCATTATATATTCAGAAAACTAAGAGATAGCCCAAAAGCAGGTCTTTAATTATGTGTTGCCTTGCTATCTTAACTTTATGTCAGACCTTGATGTTTCTGTGTTGATTTTCCTAAGTGAGCTTCCTGGTTCTTTTTAATGAATTAGCTATGGAAAATCATTGAGATAATTAGAGTAATACATGGAAACACATCATTAGCACATGCAATTATCCCATTTACCAACTTAATTATGCTATGTTACATTCTGTGATTTTTTTACTGACAGCACAGGTTGAAATATGCCTTTTTAAAATAGCAATGCTTATTTTAAAGATCAATGTGTATTTTAGCTTACAGGCATGCCAGATTGTTTAATCATGGCTAATTCTTGTTTTCAATAAAGATAAATATTCTTTTGAAACAACGTTTTGCACTTCAGCGTATTCTTTTAATCTCAACACTTAAATACAATCATTACAGTCTGCTTGCTTCCATACAAGAGTCAAGATATCTTCATATGGGCAGAAAACTCACTACTTTCGAGGGACTGCATTTCAAATTACCATATTTATTTCAATATGTAACGACTCATTTCATTTCAATGAAATACATGAAAAAAATTCTACTGACATTAACAGACAGAGTTTAGGTCTGTTTTACAAGACCAAATAGAAATTTTCGTTATTGGTAGAAATTGCTGTATGATCAAGAACATAGTGAATTTCAGGTAAACTAGGATTATGCAGTTACACATCTTAGTTAATGCTTCCCACATGCACACAAGTATTTTTTTATTCAAAAATAAAACTGTATCTGTATTCTCACCTAAAATATCCAATCCAAGGGTTTTTGCTAGATCTCTTACACCATCAGTTCCAAAAATGTGCGTCTCATGCTTACACTTGGGACATTGGAAAACACTCATATTTTGAATCAGTCCTAAAACCTGTTAAAGAAAGGAATGTGCAAACCTGGGATTCAAGCATCGGCATTTCAATTACTTATGTCTGACAATAAGGAAGAGGTTATCAACAATGAACTGACTCATTTATGATGAGAACTAGTACATATATGCTAAATATATATAATCAGATGCATTAACATCATTATCAACTATTCTTAGTCATCTCAGTTGCACTACCATTTCTTTATTATCTCAAGTTTTCACATTTATACCTCTCAAAGATGAACAAACTTATTTCTAACAAAAAGTACCTCTTACACAGATTTATCTTTCCAAGAACTCTCCCTGTCAGTGTTTCATTTCTGAGCTCTGAATACTGAATGAATTTTCAAGTTGTATTTTATAGCTTTGTAATTTGCAGTTTCAGGAAACACAAAATAAAAACATACCATTACAAGAAATGACACAATCAGACATGCTTTTAAGATGTTTTTGCAAGTTATTCATTACAAAAAGAGCCAGATTTGTTATTGTTCTGAAGAGCAGAAACACATTTTAAAGATCAAACAAAAGAAATAATTATGTGAAACTAAGCGGCAAAAAGCACAGCATAAAAATCTAATTCACATGTATTAGGTACCTTTCTGTTGATGCCAGGTGTTCAACATCATCCTTGCAAAATATGTCCAAAGAAAATTTGCCAAATCATGCACACAAAAATCTTCTTTTAAATGTACAATAATGATAATGATAGCATTGATCTCATTTAATTCACCTAGTAACCAAAACCGTTTATTGAGCCAGAGCAGGATTTCTCAAAATGATGAAAACAGCATTCAAGCACTACAGGGTAAAAGTTTCTACCCATCTGCTAATCAACAGAAGACCTGCTTTACAAGGCTCCATGATACAATATTACACTTGAAGATTTATGTTATCTAGATATGTCAAACACACTATAGCCAAGTTTTAAAAATATGAATATATATTTCCAAGAACAAAAAGCTGATACTTACTTTGTAACTTTTAAATTTCCCTGAGCATTCTAGTTTTGTGCTTGAACAAGCTGGCCTGTATATTAGAAGAGTAACATATCCACTATGCTAATAAAGCATATCTAAAAGGATATACCAGTGTCCAATGCAAACAACAAATATTGTTATTTAATTAAGACTGAATGTGCAACTTTTGGCAGCAAACCCAAAAATAAACAAGTATGTTACTTTCAATATCTTACTAAAAATTTCCTTAGATACAAGCTAAAAATGATCAAAATACGATCACGTGTTTTTTTGTTACCACCATTAGTGCATTTCTAAGAAGTCTTCCTTTACTTATGTAAAACTTTCAGAAGGTTTAAAGCAAGGAACATTTTAAGAAACAGTAAGAACAATAAAGATTACCTACTTTCAATTTAACACCACAACTTTCCCCATTTTCTACTCTGTGGGACTGCCAGAGGAGCAAGAGGAACATATTTCTATTTACTGGGATGTTATTACAAGTAATTTTCTCATACAGTTCTTAAACTAACAGACAGGAAATACTACACAGCCAAGGGTACAAGGTGCAGGGCAGGTAAAAAAAGCTCTCTACACAACTTTAGTGCTGAAGTGTATTTTTAACACACATATTTCTGCAGATATATTTACGGAAGGAAGAGAGTTCACTAGGATCTCCGGAGCTTTTAAATCTACAGACAAAGTAATAGGTCTTGCTAATAAAGTCAGTAATAACTCTCATTTCCCTGCTCAAATAACCGATCTGGAATAGCTTCAAAGCAGCTGTTCATGTCTACACAAACTATCCCACAAGAATGTGTGAATCTTATTTTAGTCCATAGTGAGTTTCTTTCCCTGTACATCTCTCAGCAAACTTGGCTCAGTAATGACATGAAAACTAGTATGATGAGATGCACCCCAAACAGGAGCTAAACTATGGAAGCAGAGGAGAGGATAGTTACAATACATGGAACTGAATTTCATTTAGTTGAATCATTATTTTAAATGGTGAAGAGACATCTATCAAGAAACACCAGGAAAAGAAGAAACCTTTCATTATAAATAATGTGCACACACAGTTTCTGAATGTTTACATGTATCTTATGTTCAACTAAACTGGTTACAACAAATCACACCAAAATCCAAAGAGGCTACCTTCTAAGTTACAGCAAATACAATGAGAAAATAAAAGCCCTCTGTCTTTACTCAAGGAGACAACTCCTGAGAAACCCAATTAAGTCTTACACTGTACTTGAGGACGGACAGCGCTGAGGTCCGACTCCAACCTGACAGGGGCTGAAGTGATCAGAGTTACAGTTCCACATCAACTTCCTAAGTAATCATCAGTCAGAAACTTGATATTTTAGTACTTCAAGTAAAGACGCACAATAGTATTTATGTCTTCCTGCCTTTCATCTTATAATGAGCAACTTTTGGCTCTAGCATCCACTCCCAGTATAAAGCCATAATCTTGGCTGGTACTCTGGTTGCTACAGAAATACCTCTAAGTACACAGACAAATAATCAATTTTAATACATCTTAGAAGGAAATACATAGCTTAGTTTACATAAGCAGTTTTTTTGAAGCCTGTGAAATCCACAACATAACCTTCCAGTTCCAGGAAACTACCAGAAAAGTTGCAGATTTAACTATATGCCCATCCTTTTCTTTTGGGATTATGATTGATAGGATAAATCATACTGAACTGAACTCAATTTCAACAGGTGAAAATAGGCAACTTTTTCCTAAATACTCAAAGTTATTCACTTTTCTGGTTTTGTCACCTGCGCAGAGCAAGCCTTTGGGATGCACAAAAACGATGGGCAAACTCACATAATGGGAAAGAATCTTGAAACTTGTTGTGATAGAAGTCAGCATCACTTTGCAAACTCCTTCCCTACCAGGTGTGCTCCACTGCACAAGAGATGGCATTCCTCTTCTGATGACTATGTCCTAAGACTGAAAATGAGATTTTTGCATTGTAATCCTGGTTCTAACACTGACTCTCATTGCCAGCTTTTCATCAGTTCCTTCAGTTGTTCAACATTTCAATGCAGTAAAGGAGAAATACTGTTAACAACTGTGATCTGACTGTGATAATACTACATGTCATTTCAGACTCAGGGCTGAGGGGAAGATGGTGTATGTATACCTGTATGTACAAGGAAAAGACTCCCGTTCATTAAATATAAGCAAGCCTATTCAAAGACTCAAAACTCAGCAACCTATAGACTTTCTGCTTCTTTGAAAAGTAGACTCCTTGCAAGCACTTTTTAAAGATTAAAGATTTTAAAGATCAGTCAATTATACAATCAGGATACGCACTTTTAGCACAGTCCCACAGATTCCACCTTCTTTGATGTAAACCTCAGGTTTGAAGTTGTCCATTACAAGTGACGTAACTGAATTTTCTTTAGATTCTCAGATTTTGTTGACATTTAGAACTGTAATAAGTAGGCAGGGACTGCTTTATACTGGAGTAAATGATAGATCTGTACTGATGCACATATAAGGTTAAAATAAAATGAAGCAGCACCATGAAAAAGGTAAGACCTGATGACTGGCTGAAGTGCACTCAGCATCTGTCACAACAGCTTCGCTATGCCTTTCATTTCATTTAGAACGATCTGAAAATACCAGCAGATCAAAATACACCATATTTAATACCTTAGCTACCATTAGTCATTAATAACAGCCAAGCCTATCCTAGAATGCATAATTTTCATAGAGGCCATTCCCTTCTAAGAACATTGAACTAACCAGACTTAGAAAGAAATCTTGGTAATTTCTCATTAAATAGAAAGGCAAATCCAGCAAAATAGTAACCTGAAGACAGTTTTATTTCTGTTCAGGTTAGCATGCTAAAATTTTGCATGATTTTAGCAAACCCAAACATAAAATGAAAACAAAACACTTTATGTTTTTCTTCTGTTATATATATTTGTTTTTCTTCTAGCAGCAAATGATAAATGCTACTGTAGTTTCATTTCGGTGCAAATATGCTTAAGGAATAGCTACAATAAGGAATTTATCAATGCATTTCTTTTGTTAAGCTATTTTATAAACTACAGAAAACCAAAAAAACCCCACCCCACAAACCAAAACAAAACCCTAAAAACAAAACAAAACAACAACAACCAAAAAAGAAAAAAATCACAACCTAGAAACAGCCACTTCAAGATTTCTTTCGCATTTTTTAAATTAACAAAGCATGAGCTATAGAAGAAATTTGCTCTCAATAAAGAGTAGAAGTAACCTTCATACAGATACGAAAGAAGTACTACATGGCTTTTTTTCTTTACTGTTAAAGATACTGAAACATATTTCAGTTTATATTTTCTCATCAACTGCACATTTCAAATGAAAACTGAATCGCTTCATGAGCATACTCCAGAGTATAACACTCAGTTACTTAGCAACTTGTAGCACACATAGAAAATACCAAGTCAAAGATGCCACCCCGCTTAATATTTTCTCTTAATCTATATGAATAGTGTAGATATTTTAAATTTTGCATTTTCCAAACAAGAAAGCTACCATACAAGCTACAAGGCTCATGAAAAGAAAGTGATACAGACAGCCTTCTGCTTGTCATGATAGTCATGGAGCCCTTCAAATGGTAAAGTAACAATTAGGTATAGGTATATCTTCCAAAACCGTACATTTCCATCTTAAAATAAAGCAATATAAGATTTTTCCACATTTCAAGAAATATTAGATTTTAACCTCTAACACAGACAGTGCCGAAGAGAACACATAATGAGGACATAGTAAGACAGTATAATGGGAAAGCTCACAGTACTTGATAAGATACTCTGTTCAGCAGCCTGATCCATTCCAGGTGATTAAACAAACTGACTTAAAAGAAATTAAGTACTATTACAACCTCTGCCTAAGGACATTCTTTCCTTTCTGTTAAAACAAGTTCCTGATACAAATATAAGATGGATTCTAATCTCTAGTTTTCAAACAAGAATTTATGAAATCCAAGTGATTCCTGAATGGTTTGTTGACCTACTGCAGTACTAATTTTAGGGGTTTTTTTACATTTTGGGGACACAATCTACTGATATATTTAATATAGGGGCTTACAGGTACGTGAACTTTTCGAAACATTTCAGCTCCTTTGTGTGCATCCAGTAAAGCCACGTCTTGTGGAGTGGAGATGATCACAGCACCTGGGAAAAGAAAACATGAAATACCATTAAAATGTGTATTATAAATTATACTGAAATAGTTTTACTATCTAGTACATGCTACCAGATTCCAAGTTGGCACACATTTATATGCCTTTTTTTTTTTTAAGGATGAAAATGATGCTACCTTTTTTTATTACGCAATGACCAAAATCACTGACAAATGATGAGAAATATAAAGTGACAGAAATAATTTTGATATTTTCATCATAAGTTTTCTATGTAGAAACGACTTATATTTTCTGAATGAGGAAACTGACCTAGCTGTCATACGACCATTAATAGAAGACAACAGAAGACAGGGTCCATATGCTGACAAGCTGCAAAGGTGGTACTCTGGGAAAATATACACAGTAGCTGTCCCATTCAATAGCTATGTTTGAAAGTTTATGATTTAACAATAAGCCTTGTCCTAAAATCAAGAGGCAGCTGCCTGTGATGAGACTGTTGCTTTCTGAATCTGCTACTCTTTCTGTTACAACCACTGACAGGCACAGTCTTGAAACATCTTATACTAGACACACCACCAGTGGGTTTGTATGAATGATACCAGAAAACAGGAGGAGAACTCATGCACACTTGCACTAGGTTCGAAAACTGTTAAGTACTGCTCGCTGTTCAGACATGGCTCCAGGCTTGCTGATAATGAGTACTCCCAAGCATATAAAACAGCTAGAATCTAATCTTTGTCAAAGATTAGAATCTAAAGTAAGCCTATAGGTTACTATCCTATGTTACCCTGTATCACTTCTTGATAAATACAGCCTGCAAAACCAATACAGACATAATTGCCACATCACTTCACAAAGAGCATGTTTGCATATTGCTCAGGGGTTTCAATTCCTCAAAACTTGCATAAAGCACCTGCTCATTCTCATCCCTATTTCAGAAAAATTCAATGTAAAGGAGAACTTTACTGGCCAATTGATTTAGGTCTGGTTTCACAGTGACCATCCAGTCTCCAAAGTATCTGTTACAAAAGCATCTCTGCAGAGCCATGTTAAGCCAACCTCACATAAGACATTTATGGCAAACTTCACACTAACGGCAATTACAACAGACAAGTTTAGATGCATGAGACAGAGTTTCTTACTGGGCCTGCAGTTCCCAACCACACATGGCAAAGAAGTGTGTAGGATTCCAGCAGCACACAACACTGGCATTGCTGGCATCGGCCAGAGCACCAGGAGCCTTGATGTGCCGAGAGCTCTCCCATCTGTGGCAGCACTGGGACAGGGAGCCCGGTCCCTCATACCAGCCCCACGCCATCCGCTGCCTGCCTGGTGGCATCCTGCCTGCCTGACAGCTAGCCGTTTCCAAACACCGCCTGACAGCGCGTTTGAGTGTTTTCAACCAGCGTTAACCTCTAATTTGTGAGAGAAAAATACAATCTGGCACCTCGATCCTGAAAAGCTGCCAATCTCTGCCTTACATAATATTAGACACAAGTCCAAAAACTGAACTGCATATGCAATGTACTAAGCAAATGCAATTTCCCTATTGTTCACTAAAACTCTGGCATTCAAGTAATTTGCTGGTTTTCCTAAGTGAACCTTTTTCCAACAGCATCATGAAGAGTAACACAGAAGCCCTTCAGTTACATGCAAGTCACCTTAGCTCCTTTTTTCACTATGTGTATGGTTATGCTTTGCAGCTAACACTGAAACGTAGGACTAATTCCACAAAATGAACGCACCCAACCCTGAAAGTACAATCCACAAATAAACAATTGAGACTCAGAGTCCTAGGGGTTTCTGCATATTTGTAAAACAAAAGTTTTTCAATACTTGGAAAAAATGCTTATTACTGCTTTCTTTTCAAACAAATTTGGAAATTTGTGTCTTATGTGTATACACTCATGTTAGCTCTTCCACATGTAAGTTTATGCTCCTCTCTGAAGATGCTGGCTCAGCATTCCCTCAATCTTCAGGCAGAAGCCAATATGCAGTTGACAAAACTGAAGTTTTTTTCTTTTTTAAGAATCCAGTAATTGTCATGGCATAAAGAACAGTGAAAACACCCACTAGAACCACAAGTAGCATATCCAAGAAATTTTTTTGACTAACAAATTCTCACCCAAAGGGAAAAAGCTAAAATGCCAAAAAGACCCAACCAATGGCACATTGCAGAGGTTAGGCTGCCGCAAACACCAACTCCCTGTGTGAGAAACTGGCTTCTGAAATACGTGAGTTAAAATTACGCTCATGGACAACTTGCATGTCTTCTTCCACAGAACGAAAGCCAACATGCTCAAGAAGCTGCTGCTGAGGGTGTAATAGGTGTGCCTCTCCTATTTTCCTTTCACTCTGAGCTGGATTACAGACAAAATTTATTCACAGCCAAGTTGTGCTGACTTACACCACAACGCCCTTTAAAATAAGTACCTTTTCTTTTTCTTTGGTACAACTGCTAGTCCAGCAAACCCAACCTGAAGTTCAAGAATTCAAATTATTATCAGCATTATTTCCTTCACTAGCAGCTGAATATGGGCAATGAGACTTTTTATGGTGCACTCCTCACAAGATAAGTTTGCTTATGTTTAATTCAGCAAGTGATTTAAATGATGAGCAAGAAAGAACACAGCCCATACTTTCTTTGCTATCTTGGCTCTACATGGTTAACAGGGATATCAAAGTGTAAAAATTTATTTTGATCAATAAAGTAGTGAAATATGACTGAATTCATATGCACAGTATGTCTCTTGAAGCAATACATGCAATGTTTACACAAGCCTCTGTCTGAATGAGGCAAACAAAGGCTGACAAATTGAACAGGGAAACTGCAGAAACTATAATGCTATCACATAGCACATTAAAACATACTACAAATTCTGTTTGCAGCTGTGTGCAGAACAGTGATTTTTGTGCCTTGAGCATAGTAAGGATATCTAAGCTGAACACATTTAGGTTTAACTGACATATCTACTTATTCATGCATTCCATTTATTTCTGTAACTTCACCATATTCTAGTTGACAAAAGAAGCTGATGCATGTCGCATTAGTAAAAACTGTGCTAACTATATAATAGCATGCATAATACATAGAAACTGCACTAACAGCAGCCTGTAACACTGATGTTTGCTTTTCCTTTTTAACCCCAGCTCCTTAATCCTCAGTAAGAGAGAAGCGTGCCTACACAGCACATTGATACTCATCTTTCTGGTGGACTGGTGTTCAGGAAACTACAAGTGCTGAAACAGCCCATAATTTCTGTGAACAGTAAATATCACCTATATTCACTGTATCATTAAGGTTTGCATTAGATACTCTGGGTTACAAGGTGTAAGGTGGAATCTCGCCAAACCTTAGCTATAGTCAATTTCCACCCAAGCAATAAATAGGCAGTTCTAATAGGCAGCCCATAAGCAGCAGTTTAGAAGGTCTACCTTAGGATGAAAAGCATCCCTCTAACTGTTTTTTTCCCTCCAGTGTCTTCAAAGGCAGACTTCAGAACCAGGCTTCATGCATCTCATCCAAACAGCTTAAGAACCCCTCCAAACATAAGTATTACACTGTGTCTTCTATAACCCTGAATCTTATTAACTTAGCAAATAATATCATCTCAAAACCTGCAGAGTGAGATGTAACTAACCAAACTGACTGACAAACACCATTCTGGAGAATGAAGACACAGAAGGATATCCTATATTTTTCTAATAATTGCATCTACTGATTGACAGGTGCTAAACACTCTTGCAGGCCTCAGTGCAGATGTGGATGGCCTGAGACCACACCACTCATGGATTTTTTACAACTTTTGTTACCTTTTCCACCATATCCATTTCAAACTGCTAGGCAAGACTTTCAAGTTATTAATAGCTTAGTGAATCTGAATCTTCCTATTGTGGATCTCTTCAGAGTCCCTCTCACCTCTGTTAAATTTCTTGTTACCTCTTATGTAAACTGTGCTTGCAATTACAGATTCAGTCTGTACTTGAAAATGCAGAAAAAGATCTTGCAATAACAAAGATTTCTGTCTTTGCTAGGATTTCAGCTAGCAATTATTACAGATACATTAACATTTAAAAATTGTCCATCTCCTTGGATAAACCTTGTAAAGAGGTTCCTATAGCTTTTGTATGTGATATCTCATTACAACTAGCAGCTTAAAAACCACTAGTGTGATTTGCCCTTAAGGTATGAGACACATTCCCAGCTCAGAACTGTCCCAGAGGCAGGATCCTAGCTGTTACACCTCCAGTTTGTTTGCTACATTCTTCTTGGAGGAGACTTTGAACAACTGCTCAGACACTGTATGTTTCCAAAAGCCACACATCCTCCTCTGCCCACGAACTAGTGTGTAATTAGAGACTGGGACACTACCGCTTTGCCCACATGAAAAGAGGACATAAATCTTAAGAGAAGCTTCTTCCTCCTGGCAAAGGGAACTGTCAGTGAAACCACTGAGCTAAGGAGTCTCACAAGCTGAATAAAGCTGTCACCCTGAAGTTAAACTGCCCTCATCTAACTGATCAGTAAGTATTATAACATCCATTTCACACTAGATCACATGAGGAAAGACGTGGAAAGACAACTCTCACTATGTTAAAATGTCACACTAATACAATTTACAATGCAATATTTATTTAGCGAAGTGAAAAGACTCAAAACATTTGCAATAACATCTGTGAACAAGCATTATTTGCAAAGTATAGGCGTTAAATAAAAAGTAACTCCCTCACAGACATTCTGCCACTTTACACTTTTCCTTGGCTAATCTGAATTAGCATTTTTCCACTCAACTTCATTCCACCTCCTGCTTTCAAGGGCATTTGCCAGTCATGTCCAGATTATAATGAGCATTTTACTAGGCAAGAGAAAAGTCCAAACAGTCTCTTTTGACAAATGAATATAATTTTTCTTAAATGAGAGGTCCCAATGTAAAGAGGAGAAGTAAAAGAGTGATGCTACTACAGGAAAAAGACCACACTCAATTCACCTTCCCCCGCCAGAGGTGGGAATGGTAAGGGGCAGATTTAAAC